TCCTAGAATAGCCAACACGTTAGATTTTACAAGAGCACTGTAAAATCACTCCTGTGATTGCAGGAATATACCAGAGCCTGACCAAGATGTATTTGAGCAACTGTAGACCTCTTAGGCTCACTCTATAGCCAGTGTGGAAATGCAGGCACTTCCTGAGGATGTCATCTCTTCCTCATGTAGTCATCAAGGATGACACAAATCATACTCTTTATAGCCTAAAAGAAGTGCCTTTTTCTCTTCTTAGGTTATGAAGAATAATGAGGTTCAGTGTAGGCATCTCCCCTGTAGCTCTGTGAAGGTAGGTGATGTGCTGCCTGGCCTCACAGAGTGCATGAGAGCTGTGGGGCAGCTGTAACTATACCTTGTCTATTCGATAGGGCTCCCCACTGGCCCAGCCAAACCCTTAATCCAGAATATCTCATTCCTCCTCCCACTCCTTAGTTCCAAAATTCAGCTGCGTTACTGGAGGCAGGCAGTCCTGGGAGTGGTTGCTATCGTGCCTGTTGATGAAAGCTTGTGGGCCTTGCCAGCAGGTTTAGCTTTCTCAGGAGTTATGGCTTTCACATTGCCTCCTTTGAGCTGATGTAATCCTAACAAGTCTGTACTTCTAATTTTGTTCCCACCCTTTAGTCTTCTGTCAATGTAGACTGTAAGGAACTTTCTCACATCTTGGTTTTACACAGTACCTAGTGCAGCAAGGTCTCAGCATTGACCGAACCTCTCAGGACTTTTGAAAAATAAAAAATTAACAAACAAATAAAAACGAATAGTAAGCAATAACACCTAGGAGAAAAGCACACAAGTGACTCGCTTTCCTATTCAAAACAGATATAAAGTGTGAAGAATCTATTATGGCTATGATAAACTGATGATCCATAAAACAATATGGCTATGATAAACTGATGATCCATAAAACAAAGACCTTTAAATTTGAACTATCTGTTCTTTTATTGCAGTCAATAACTTCAGTTAAAAAGCATCATCTCTTTAAATCTTGAATTAATGAATGAAAGTGTTGGAGTTTTCAGCACATCCCTAAATAACTCATTCCAATAGTTAATTATTGCATTATTAAAAATGTTGCCTTGTTCTGCTAGTATAAATCTATCAAGTTCTGCTGTCAAACACAAGATCTTTGTTATGCTTATTCCTAACAGTCTGAAGTTTAGCAGAAATATTCTGAGTCTTAAGGCTGTGATAAAGTGCCAAAGAATGTAGCCGCTGGGTTTTATTAATTATTCAGTATTTATACATACTGAATACATTTGCACTTCCTGGTCTACAAGGCCCATGTCAGGATTAGGCTCCCACTGTGCAAGCTTCTGTACAAGCCCAGAAAAACTGATCCCTGTCCTAAAGATGTTATAGTTCAGAGAGTGGTGCGAATGCTTCACCGTTCCCCATCTTCACCCTCTTGCTATGACTGGGCACCACAGGTGACAACCCTCATCATTTTATGTCACCATCTGTTCTTAATCCTCCCTGCCTTTTTGTATTCTGATTTCAGCTGTGACGACACTGAAAGGTATCCCCTGGCTGCTGCGGTCAGTATGTGCAAGAAGCAGGGTGAGTCTATGGAAACAATAAAACCAGACCAGCATCACTGGCACTAATGTCTAGGTGATTGGTGGCTGCTCCTTGCCCACCTCTTTTGTAAGCACCATGGCAAAGGGGGTTTGAAGGTGGGCAGTGAAGCAACTCCACTGGCCGTGAGGCATTCCTCTCAGGAAGAGAGGTGGTATAGGGAAGGCATGAAGATGTACGCCTCCTGCCCCAAATCTCTTAGTTTGAGCATAAAAATCTTTTCACTCCTCCTTTTCTCCCTAGCTCAGCACTGGGCTCTTTTCACAGACTGAGTT